TGTTGGATTAGAGTTTGCAAATAATTTGTTAAATTTATTCCATTAAATTTATCAAAGATAATTTATTACTCAAATTTATCAATTAATTATGGCGAATAAATAAATTCTCTACATTTATGTAATATTTATTGGAATATTAAGGCATTACTTTAGTAAATAAATTTGTCTTATATTTTTTATAAGTTATTTCGTCATTAATAAGTTCGTTAATCTCATTTATCAGTTTTCACATAAATTTTTTTTTGTTATTATATTTTGCTGCTGAACTAACATTTATCCTAATTTCTGTCTAACTTAATGAAATAGTAATAGGCATCGGCACTAGATTTAAACTTGTAAGCAATTATTCCAGTTTTATTAAGTTTCTATCAACTAACTAAGAAAATTCATATTGATTATTTAATGAGAACAGTCAATATTTAAAGATTTGTTTTAATTTAATTGTGATATTTTATGCCTCACGCAACCACCTTATTTCACAATGTTACAAATTCGGAACGCTTCTTTCAGCATCTTAACCATAAAATTTGCATTCGGAGGCCTAGTATCTCAATAAAGAAATATTTTGATTTTATACTTTTACAATCCTTTGCTTCAAACAAATTATTTCAGACAGGATTCCTGTAGACTCTAAATAAACTTATATAATTTCAAAATTTTGCCAGATTTGTCTCATTTTTTACCTAAACCTTCCTGTCCATAAGTACAACCTCTACTCTTTTGTATGCTCCTAAAACTATTAGTTCATTTAGCTTTAGCTTCCTTATGATATCGATTTCTACAGAAGGCACAACTTTACTTGATAAACAATCCCACCGCAGAATGTGATATGGTAAAATGCTTGGCCTTTCATGAAAGTCATATCTGCTCTGTGGACCAAAAATGTTCGTTTTAGTGTGATGTCTTGTTTAACGTGTCAAGATTATTTGTCGCATTATTAGGGTTCGAGTTGGGGTGCTTATGAGGCCTAGATGATCTAAACTGCAGTCCCTTTCTGATAAGTATACCTTCTTGGAAGCAAGGCTGCATGAAATTCAAGTAAAACTTAGGTTCTTCTTATATCATTATAGGAAAATTAAACTCCTAGTCCTTTCTCACCTTGACGAAATAGAGTGAATACTTCTCATATATGTGATATATTGATAGTCTAGAAGACCAACCTACACAAAAAAATTAATTTACTGAAGTCTGATTTTAGTTTTGTTCGAACACTTAAGCTCTTTATTAACCTAATCATATGCCATATTTATAAAATCTCTCTAAGTTCTAAGAAGCAAATTTGGCCTAGCGAGGATGCAGGAATAGGGAATAATAGTACAAGATAAATATAATTTTCCAATTCAAATATGATTAACTTTTCGTGACATTGCTTTCCTGTTCTTAATGTGTAGCGATGAATTTATAAACAATTTTTCATGACTGTTCTTTTCTGGATGATACGATGTCTATAACATAATAGACGATGGCTTATTAATGAATTAATCAGTACTGCTGGGTGGATTACTGAGATCCTCTTTTATTAATTCGACAGTCGCGACTTCAAGTAATTTCTTCTTTAATTTTATATGAAAAAAGTGGCGTTGTTACTATAGGAAAATAATAATTTTGCCTTCAATAAGCCCAGTATAGCTGTGCTTTTGAGGAGACCCTGCTAGCATTTAAAAGCTTATTTTATATGTAATCCACTGACTACTGTAACTTTCTATCGACATAATAACGGCGTTATAGGAGTCCCATTATCAAATCGTGATTCCCATTAGAGTGTTGATGAAACTTAGGTGAGGAGAATCCGTAGGCCAATATGGAAGAGAAATGGGAGGCATGGATAAATGAGATAAAGTAACATCGCAAGACTTGTTCTATTAAATTTGAATTAAAACTAAACCTTAAATCCTTAATTTACATTAGGCTACCCAGTATGACTAAATTCTTACTCAAGTAATCTTATTTCTTATGTACATTTTTGTCGGCCATCTCACCGCAAGTTAAATAATATTATACAAGATTCATTATATGAAAATATGCTAATACTCGTAAAAATATATAGTCACTTTTTAATGAATTAGTAAGGTTTAATTTACGCAGTTCTTTATCTAAATGAAATAATCTATCTTATTATATCGTGGGCTGTTTGGTTTACCCTTCATCTTCTTATGCTTCTCAAACCTTCCCCTGTGAATTTTCCTGAAAAATGGTCTTTGCTCTGCGAAGTTGCAGATAAAGTTATTCGATGTGAAACAGTCCACAGGGCTAAATGGAATTCTAGTTTTAGTGTTGTTTACGCCCTCTGTGTTTCTCGACCTATTTCGTACGCTTCAGATCTTTATACAGCAACCGTCTCGTTAATCAATTCACGAGTCAAAGAAATTGCAACAGAGCTAGAAAATGTAGATGATGAGGTGTTACTCCCTTTGTATGTTCAGCGATGGGAGGTCTTTGATCGTGGCCTTAGTTATCTCGACAATTTGTACAGGTACTAATATTCTCTATTACTCTCAGTTTTCTCAACACCCAATACGTTAAATGTTTAAGACCAACTGAAGGTGAGATGAATTATGGATCAACTCTTCCTATGATTGATCGGCATACTATGGAAATACTTGAAGTTGGGTTATGGCAATGGAAAATGTTCCTACTTGATTTAATAAAAAAAAGGCTTTGCCATCGACTAATACTTGAAGTTCACAAGTAATTTAATTTTTTATATGGCCTGCCTAGTGATCGCTATGGTATCTCTAGCCAGCAGAACTATATTTCTCCATGTCTAAAATCATTCCTACGTGTTGGAGAACTCCGCGATGTTGGAAAAGTTCGCTTTTTTCGATTCATCTATGCTCTTTTTCGGCATAACTTTTAGAATTGTCTTTAGATTATTTTTTCAATTTAAATATAAGCATTTATATCCTCTACTTATATGTTTATGGACCACTTTCACTCATTCGTATCTATTTTGCCTCTCCTCTCCTGTCTTCGTGTTATTTTGTTTAGTTCGGTAAAGAAATATATTTAGAAATATTCCAAAATCAATTACGAGAGCACACACAAAATTTTTACAAACAATGGGCTACGCAAAGAGAGGAAACGCTTTCATGTTCACAATACGTCACTGAGGTAAGTTGTCTTTCCATTCTGCATGACCTTAATAAACCGGCCTAGTTCAATGTTTTATTTATTGTTCATTTATATTATAGGCTCTTGCTCTTCGTAAGGAAGAACGCCTGAGGGCTGAACGTTATTATGCCGGCTCTCTCGCACTAGTGCAGCAACTGTTTCAAGATATAATAGTCGAAGATCGTTTGGCGTTCTTAAATCAAAGCGTTTCAAGTATTGTTGCCGGAGAAGATAAAGCTGGTATTGTGATGGAATATATGCATTTCCTATTACTTTTATAAATTGTCTCAAAATCCATTCCTACTTTTTCGTTTCTCAACAAATTTTATTTTTTTTTATGTAGCGCTTCGGAATATTTTTGAGCTTCTTTCGCCAGTAAATCTTTGCTCAGAGCTTCTGAATGCTTTCGGTCAACACATAAAGTCTTTGGTTTCTGATGCTATTTTTGCATTACCTCAGGATCCAGCTGTAAGTATCAAATTCTTTGTTGATTCAAATGTATCTGTCTGTATCGCATTCTACCATTACGTATTACTGCAGACTATTTTTACTATTTTGAAGCCTTATATTGACTCAACCATAGCACCAAACCTTACTAGGTTTCTAGTTCTAGCCCCATTTCTTCTTACATTTTTACTCGGATTAACATTACGAATTAATTAGAGTTTATGGCGTAAAATAAACCATCATTCATTTGCTCTTATTTTCACTCAACCGCATTAATTTTTTTCTAAAAGCTATATTCTCAGCAAGCCCCTATACAGTTTGTGGACAGTTTAATCTCCATACGCCAGCGCTTCACAAATTTTATTGATGAAGTTTTTGGGAATATATCGGCATTTCGTCTTCGCATGGATCGTGCCATTAGCCAAGCTATAACGGAACGAGCGACTACCAATTTCCGAACGAATTCTGGATCAACCACTAGGTAGGGCAGAAAATGCCAACTTTTTTGGAATTATCGTATGTTCATTTAATAATATAGACATTCAAAGTCCCACATTTTATTTTTTTTATTAACGAAAAGTTAAGTACGCCTTTTTATTGTACGTAGCTTTATAAGAGTTACACATTCATTACCGATGTACATAAATTGTAGACTTCTGTCTTCATTAGACTAGTGTCATTTGCTGTTAGATTTCATATCTTTCTCGTCCTTTTAAATCGATGTAAAGAATATTTTTTGAATTTTTAAACTGGAATGTCTTTAACTCCATGTATGCAATACTTAAAATGCATTTCCATCATTAAATTTTATTATTAATTATTTTTTGACAAAACTTTAATTCTTTTTTCTAAGTCTTCAAACTTGGGTCTTTTTATTAAATATACCTGTAGCTCTAGCCGTATGGCTAAAAAATGGCTTCCAATCCTTCTCTGTCTACTCATTACTGATTTTCTTCATTATAGACCTCCTTTCAGGCCCTCGGAATTGTTAAGTCGCTAC